TCATGTGCTTGGGTTTCTTCTCCCCAGTCCCTGTTTGAACTCTCCTGGCACAAACATCAGCATGGTGGTAACTGCCACACATTTGTCCCATGACAGGGCAGAGATGAAAATCCTAGAAATCAACCAGGAATTGCGCTCCCAGCTGGCAGAGAGCCAACAGCAGTTTGAAGACCTCAAGGAGAAATTTCTTATAAGTCAGGCTACTGCCTACTCTCTGGCCAAGCAACTAAAGAAATATGGTAAGCTTTATAGATTCACCATCACGAAAGTGATGATTCAGCACCCGTCTTCTCTCTGAGACACTGAACAGCCACTTCATCAAAATTAATTTCATCCTTTCCTTAGTTCTAGGAAAACAGAAATGGGTATTTTAACTTGATTGTGTTAAGGATGGAAAACAGAGGCACAACGTACTTAGCAACTGTTCCACATTAGCAGTCCGATGTGCGGTGGGACTAGAGTTAAAATCCTGCCTACTGACCTCTGACACAGGCACAGAACCACTTGTTTTTCTCAGCAAGATGCTCAGTCATGTTTATGAGAACGCTCTCTGTACTCTAGAAGACCCTGCAGACAAATAACATCTACTCTGTTGGTCTAAAGGCCTGGAACTAAGGAATGGCCATTCCGTTTAAGCTTCTTTGAGGCCCAATAGGCAAACCTCTCCTCAGGGAACCCCGGGGGAAACGTGGCAACAGTACAGAGTACCTGCTCTAAGGAGCTTAAAGAGGCGACTGCTCCCAATAGTAACAGCATGAAGAGCAGGGAGTTCCCTGGGGAGAGGGAAGTCCTGTTTCCTGAGGCACAGGCTCTATTTCTAAAGAGGAAGAAAGACAGCACGTAAGACATTGGGAGGTAGCAGTGCCATGTGCAGAGCAGGGAGCCTGGGCCAGTCTCCTGGGCTCCATCCAAGTGGCCTAACTTCTCTGTGCCTCAGTTTTCTCATCTGTTCATTGGGCACTATAATAATACCTACCTCTGTAAATTGCTGCAATGAAGTACATGAGGTGTTTCTTCTAAATCTCCTAGAACAATTCTTGGCATAGAGTAAGCACTAGCTATTAGTTCTTCCTTCTACTGTTTCTAACTTAATTCAAACTTTATTAGTATTTGGTCATATTTCTATGATGACCTCAGGGTCTTATGCCTCCTATTTCGTGCAATTATATTCACATACGATTTTTTAAATCTTTGACATATATGTGCTTGAAATTCCCAGTACCAGGGAATCCAGGAGTCCCATAGTCCCAAGGGCCTTTCCTACTACTCAGGATATCACTACTTCATGCCACAGTAGAGTGTTTGACAGGAGAGGCTGCAAGGCTTGGGAAAGTGTCCCAGGATTCAGAGCCAGACCTCAGGGGCTATGAATTCTGACTCTGCCTCATCCCAGGTGAATCATCCTGTCAAGTTACTTGATGTGTCAATGAGTTTCTTTTTCCCCATCTCTAAGTTGGAGAGTGTCAGATGCCAGCAAGTTGGGAAGTTGATAATAAAAAATGAAAAAATTCCTCACTACAATCTGGTACTGGGGATGCTTTTGTCTTTGGGATAGACACTGCCACCTGCCCTGCAGGCAGTGACCACACCAGCATGTCCAGCCTTCCACTGAGGCAGGCATGACTGTCTCTTCTCAGGGAGTGAAGAGGACAAAGACATCATAGACTCTGTGCTGAGGGATGAAGTGCAGTTCATAGAGGAAAAGCTGGCAGAGAAGCTCAGGCAAGCGGAGGAGCTCAGGTGAGCAGACGCCGTGGGGACAGGCAGGTGGGCCGGGATGTGATCTCTGAAGTGCAGCAGTTCAGCTGGGAGAAGCAGGAGCTAAGCTGGGCCAGGGCAAGGGCAGGCATTTACATGGCAGGCACATTACACACAAACACTCATAAAACAGAACAGTAATCTTAGCAAGTTATGGGTTGCAGTTGTTTCTTGAGCCTTGGTTTCTCTTCTTAAAACAACTAATTGTTGAGTTGAAATTTACATACCCAAAATTCATTCAAAGAAAATGAACCACCCAGCAGCATTTAATACACTCAAAATGGTGTGTGATCTCCACCCATTTACTCCTAGTCAGAGTCACCTCCTGACTGACTGCAGCAACTCATTCGTTCAATCAATATTGTCTTCTTGACCTGCCATTCTTTTATCTTTCCAATTCATCTACATCTGGTCACAGCTCTGTTTCCAGTCACTGCAAGATGCACTATGTGAATTTTCACATAGAAATGTCCATGGCCAAAGTGAGGAGGTAAAAGGACATCCCCTTGAAACTGACTTAAGAAGACAATGACTTTTGTTTACAGAAGAAATAAATGAATGGAAAATCACAAATGATCTTACAGGAGCTCTCTCTGATACAGAGGAAGTCTTTGTATATATAAATACAATATATATATGTATACTATATATATATATATATATATATATATATATGTATGTATATTTTAATGGAGTCTCATTTCTGTCACCCAGGCTGGAGCGTAGTCACACAATCTCAGCTAACCGCAACCTCTGCTTCCAGATTTCAAGCAATTCTCCTGTCTCAGCCTCCCAAGTAGCTGGGACTACAGGCATGCACCATCATGCCTGGCTAATTTTTGTATTTTTAGTGAGACAGGGTTTCACCATGTTGGTAAGGCTGGGTTTGAACTCCTGACCTCAGGTAATGTGCCCGCCTTAGCCTCCCAAAGTGCTAGGATTACAGGCATGAGCCACCATGCCCTGTCAAATATATATATATATATATATATATATATATATATATGTGTGTGTGTGTGTGTTGGACAGGCATTTCCCTAAACATGTTGTGACCTTCTGCTTGGAGGGCTCCTTGAGGACATTCTCACATAAACCTCCGTTGCAGTATTAGAACTGATCACTCATCCCTTTCTGTTATTAAACGTTCTCTGCTATCTCACCGTAGGCAATATAAAGCCCTGATTCACTCTCAAGCAAAAGAGCTGACCCAGTTATGGGAGAAGTTACGGGAAGGGAGAGATGCCTCCAGCTCACTGAATCAGCATTTAAAGGCCCTCCTTACTCCTGGTGACCCTGACAAGTCCCAGGGTCAGGACCTTCGAAAGCAGCTGGCTGAGGGGCACAGGCTGGCAGAGCGTCTTGTCAACAAGCTCAGCCCAGGTAAGGTGGACACAGGCCCTGATGACACACAGCCCCAGGCTTATGAAAGTCCCCAGATCTCCATACCTCCACAATGGCAATTTTATGGGTAGTGTTTCTTTCCACTAAAAATTTGTAGCATGACATGACCAGGACTTCCTGGGCAAAAACAGAGATGGGAAACCAGTGGGGTTGTAGGTCACAGGATTGCAAATGTCCCCTCATTTCTTGTTGGAACATGGTCTTTGGGGCAAGAGGCAGCATCTGTCCAGTTTTAAAGGACAGGAAGGAGGCTGTGACAGGAGGCAGCTTGTTAGAGTAAAAAGAGCCCTGGAGTAAGAATGCATGTTCCCAGGCTCTATCTTCAGCAATGTCTTTAGCAACTGTGAGTTACTGATTAATTTATCCTTCCTGAGTTCCTATATCTAAATCTGTAAAGGCAGACAAACTGTCTCTTGCATTCAAATGTGGGAACACTTATGACTATAATATTTCACAATGAGATAAAGCCACTTGCTGTGTGGTGTTGGAGAAGGCACTTGATGTGGGGGCATTTGGTGGTAGGAAGTGGTCTAGACTGGAGCACTCCATGGAGAGAGTGTCCCTGGATAGCACAGTGGAAGTCATTTGGAGCGCCCATGAAGTCCCCGATGTATGGAGTATTGTGGGACAAGTTTGTCCTGTCCTAAGAGAAAGACACAGGTTGTAATGCAAGCTGTGACAGGACACAGAGCCTGTGCCTGTGTATCTGAACAGTGGCAGGATTGAGAAGACAGCTGCTGAAGCTTAGAGAGAGGCTGGACAAGCCTCCAGTAATGTGGGGAGCAAGAAGTCTTTTCAATATTTGGCCACATCTTGATAGTGGCCCTCCAGTTCAGAAACACATTCCCTCATGGATTAGGAGATCATGCCAGGGCATTTTTGAGAGATAAACAGGAGAGTTTTCGGCACAATGCAGACACACACATGGATGTTCATGTCTCAGTGCACATAGGGCTGACTGTGCTTCCAGTGGGTGAGGTGGGAAATATCTGAATAGGCGCTTCTGTATTTGCAGAAAGTGATGAAGATGAAGATGCAGATGTTACAGATGAGGAGGTCAAGAAAGGACAGGAAACACCTGCCCCCAGGTAACACTGAATAATCAGGAGTGGGTAATGGGTGGTAAAATATGGAAAAAATCTCAGAAAGAACACAAGGTAGGTTAAGGTAGCCACAGATTCCAGATGAGGGTACAGACAGCTGCAGAGTGCACTGATTTCATGCACTTCACCAACAAGAAAATAACCCTGTTAACATGCGTGTCCATTGTCTTCATGGCACCTGTAAGCATGACCCTCGATGAACTCACTAGCCCTAGGGACTTCCTGCACACACAGGGGAGGCCTGTCCTCCCCTGTAGTGAAGCCAGGATGAGATGGATAGCCACTTTCCTTGACTCTTCTTGTCATTAGACTCTTGTTAGGTAAGATAAATTACAAAGAGACAAGAAGCAGAGGAATTGGGGTACACCTACCAAAGATAAACACCAAGAAAAGTGCCCAGGAAAACTTTACATTTCACACCACAATGTGAAAATTTAAAAAAAATCTACGAGGCACTTCATCTCCAGAGTCTACCAAGGCTCAGACACCTGTATTCCCTTGGCCACAGCATGTTAAATACAACCCAGCTTAGACACACGGTGTGGCAGCTGTCTTTGGTTCTTGTGAGTGCTGTGAAGACTGTACCATACAGAAGCAGCTGAGCCTCTGCCTTCCTCAGCTCCTGTCTGTCCAGTGCACTGAACACCAGCTGCTCTCTTCCTCTCTGGTTCCCAAGGCAGCCATGCTCTTTTGCAGATAGAGGAGGATTGCCTGTTCCCTCTTAAATGGAACCTCCCCTTTGCTTTCTGGGACCACTACCTTATGCCTCCCATCAAAACCAGCTGCGAACTCCTGGGGTCCAATCCCTCTTGGTTTACTCTTTGTCATCTCTATCCTACCTGGTGCATCAGGGAGGTACAGAGGGCTGAGGAAAAGGAAGTCCCTCAGGACTCACTGGAGGAATGTGCTGTCCCTCGTTCAAACAGCCACGGCGCTTCTGACTGCAACCAGCCTCACAGGAGTGCCAAAGTCACATTTGAGGGAGACAAAGTCGACCCTGCTCTGGTTGTAGACAGTAAATTATCTCAGGATGAAGAGGAGGAAGCTCCAAACATTTTCCCAGGTAGCCTCTATATTCTTTATCCCTCGTACCTCTGTCTAGGTTAAGAAGATCAACTCTGAGGGCAGGCTGTATTGATTTGAATAGGAAACTAGGGTGAAGCTGGGGGCAATGGCTCACATCTGTAATTTCAGCACTTTGGGAGGCCCAGGTGGGTGGATTACTTGAGTTCAAGAGTTCAAGATGAGCTTGGGAAATGTGGTGAAATCCAGCTTTATACTGAATACAAAAAATTACCCGGCAAGGTGGTTCACACCTGTAGTCCCAACTACTCCAGAGCCTGAGGTAGGAGAACCATCTGTGCACAGGAAGTTGAGGCTGCAGTGAGTCATGACTGCATCACTGCACTGCACCCTGGGTGACAGAGAGAGACGCTGCCTCACAAATGAAGGAAGGAAGGAAGGAAGGAAGGAAGGAAGGAAGGAAGGAAGGAAGGAAGGAA